AATCCAGCAGATTAATAAGATGACTGACTGCAAGGCGATTTGAACCACAAGGTCGTTGGTTCAAATTCACCAGCTGCTCCTTGGAAACCATATACAGGGTCATTATGAGTCAGAACCGGCTCAATGTCACTTAAAAACAACAATGATACTAAGATTTCAGAAATGGACAGTACATTAAAAGGGCAAAGGAGTAGATGTGAAGCAATATAAGCCTGAATTAGTGAGCTTGAAGATAAATCTCTCAATATTAGGTCACTATGAGTTGGAACTGACTCCACAGTGCATAACAACAACAACAACTAGTACGCTAGAAGAACAACTTATGAATTTCAGAACCGGTACCTCGGAAACCCTGTACAGGGTCGCTATGGGTCGGAACCGACTCGACGGCACTTAACAACAACAACAAAGGATGATAAAAAGCACAGAGAAAATGATTGAAGAGCTGTTGGAAGAAAACTTCCCTAATATCATGAAAGATGAGAAGAAAAGCATACAAGAAGCTGAACAAACAACAAACAGGATAAATCTCAAAAGAAAATCACCAACTCATATCATAATCAAACTTTCCAAAACCAAAGACAAAGAATCCTGAGAGCAGTTCAAGGAAAACTTAAAAAGGAAGATTCAGTAAGACTAAGCTCTTGATTTGTCAGCAAAAACCATGCAAGCAAGAAGGCAAGAGGATGACATATACAAATTCCTGAAAGGAAAAAAAAAAAGCCAACTAAGGGGAGTCCTTCAAATGCAGTGCTGAAAATAGGACGGTTCCTGAAAAACAGAATTAAAGCAGTTTGTAATGGACAGACCGACTTTACAAAAAATGTCAAAGAGTGTTTTGGGGTCTTAAATTAATAACAGCAGACAACAACTTGAAATTATCTATCAATCATGACAACACCACCCAGAATCCAATCCATATATAGAACACTGCAGGATAATGCACTGGACCACAAGGTTTGAACCACAAGATTGGTGGTTCAAACTTACCAGCCATTCCTTGGAAACCTATACAGGGCAAAACAAACCTACAAGATTGAAAATATGGAAACCGTGTTACCAATTTATGCTGAAGTCAACTACAAAGCAAAGAGAGGGACTAGCATGGATACAGAACTTCCAAATGGTGAGTTAGTTAAGTAGATTTCAAGATAAAACAGATTGAAGCAGTGAAAAAAGTTAATAAATTACAAGGTAACTACAAAGAAAATTAATATATCTGCATATCAAAATAAAAAAGAGGAAAAATCAGAAAGATTTAGTAAATAGTAACACAACAGAAATGAAAATGAAATGAAAACTCACAAACAAAATGAACTCAGCGCAGAAAATTATTTGGAACAAAGACACCAGCAGCACCACAAAAAAATTACACACAGCAAAATAACAGCAATCAATTCATACCTATTGAGAATTACACTGAATGTAAATGGATTAAATGCACCAGTAAAGAGACATAAAGAACAGATGGGTAAGATAACAGCATCCTTTAATATACTGTCTGCAAGAGAAACATCAAAAAGATAGAGACAGTCTAAATGTCCATCAACAGAAGAATGGTTAAGCACACTTTGGTACATATATATGATGGAATACTACCTCTTGAAGAATAGTGATGAATCTGTGAAACACCTCACAACATTGACAAACCTGGAAGATATTATGTTGTTGTTGTTCCAACTCATAGCAACTGTCTATAGTGTTTGCAAGGAGCAGCTGTTGAGTTTGAACTGCCATCTCTTGCCACAACAGGGATCAATAAAAGAGTTGTTGTTGTTGTTGGAGTTGTTGTTTGCCTTCGAGTCGGTTCCGACCCATAGCGACCCTGTACAGGGTTTCCGAGGGTGTAAATCCTTACGGGAGTACAAAGCCTCATCTTTCTCACACGGAGCGGCTGGTAGTTTCGAACCACTGACCTTAAGGTTCGCAGCCCGATTCGTAACCACTACGCTACCAGAACAAGTATGAAATAAACAACACCAACAGAGCAAAAGAGGAGTCCTGTGGTGCTGTGGGTTAATGCGCTGGACTGCAAATTCAGTTTGAACCTCAAGGTCAGTGGTTCAAGCTCTCCAGTCGCTCCTCGGACACCCTATAAAGGATCACTCTGGGTCGGAACCAACTCGACGGCACTTAACAACAAGATAGAGCAAGAGAAGTACTGCTGTGGCACTACAGGATAAGCACTAGACTGTTAATCACAAATCGCCAGTTGAAATCCACCAGCTGATCTCTCAGAAACAGTATGAGTCATTATGAGTTGGGATTGACTCCAGGGCACATGGCAACAAATACTTCCTTCATCAGAAGCTCCTTTCTCTCCTTGGCTAGTGGACTTCCTACTAGTCTTCCAAGACTCAGCTCTAGATGCAATCCCTTCCTGGTGTGGCGCTGTGGGTTAATGCACCACCGTTGAACTGCAAGGTCGGTGGTTCAAGCTCACCAGCTAGGTGGGAACCGACTCGATAAAACTTAACACTTAACAACAACAACAACAACCTTAACAAAGAAAGGAGCTCTGGTAGCATAGTGGTTATGAGTTGTGCTGCTAATCTCATAGTCGGTAGTTTGAAACTACCAGTAGTTCAACAGGAGAAAGATGAGGCTTTCTACTCCTGTAAAGATTTTTTTTTCTAAAGTTTATTGTGAATTATGTGACAGTTTACATGGGAGAACACCAGTTTTACATTCATCCTATAGTATTTAGTTTCATTGCAATGATCCCGTAAAGATTCATAGCCTCAGAAATCCTGCAGAATCACTATGAGTCAGAACCGACTCCACGGCACATAACCACCAACTACTTTAACAAAGTAGATAAACTGAATAGTTGAATAACAGAAAACATGAACTCCTTTCTTTATCGACCCTATTAATGTTGTTGTTGTTGCTATGTACTGTTGAGTCAGTAGGATCAGCTGGGGGTTTGAACCACCAAACTTGTGGTTAACAGTCCAATGCTTATCTTACAGCTCCACACCAGGATGCACATCTCTAATATTCATAGCTGCCATTATCAACACAATTCCTTATTAAAGTTTAATAATATAGCAACTTCTGGTTGCTAAAGATGATTTCTGTTATTTTCAGGTCAGTTCAGAAGCTTCTTCAAATAAATAAGAATATAGTGTTTGCTTCTGAAATAAAATGCATGGGATGGGAGAATTTTCTTGATGCAAAGGACAAAATACCTACTTGTGGCTCTCAACGACTTACTATCATTGAGAGGAGGCAAAGGAAAAAAGTCAATTTCAGGAAAAGATTGGTAGTGGATAATACACGGTGAGTAGGATCAGCACTGCCCTGCAAACCACAAGGTCAGCAGTTCAAACCCACCAGCTGCTCCTTGCGTCGCTATGAGTCAGAACTGGCACTTAACAACACTTTGCTTCTCCTCTCTTAAGAAAAGATACTTTAAAAAAAACAACCCAACACCACAGCTAGAAATGAGTTTAGCCAGACCATAAGTCAAACCCCCTCCAACAAATTTTCCAGTGTCATTTCAAAGAACAAATGAACCTTTGCCAACTGTCAAGAATCTTAAAAATGCATGTTTCTGCAGTAGAATTCTAAGAAATCTGGTAAATATCTAAAAACCCAGCAATATGGACGAAGTTTCCAGGCAGACTGTTATGAGCTGGCTATTTAAAGGCAACGTGTCTTGTAGGTTTAAGAATCTTGCCTGCAGCAAACCTTGCTTATATTCTAAGTCCCATAAAGCTTCGGATGACAGGGTGGGGTGGGGCGGGAACTATGGGCCGGAGTGAAGATGACCGGCCTCAGACCTGCAGTTCTACCATCTCTTCTCGAGCTGGCTTCAGAGAAAACCCACCTCCCACTATGGAGTTGAGGGTGTGGTGTGTTAGCACTCTTTGAGCTAACTTCAAGGTAGGAACTTGGAACTCACTTATCTGCTTTGATTCTTATTTTTACCTTACTGCCTGAAGAAATTTTTAGTCCCTTGAATGTACGTGGAACATCCTGGCAGCACAAATATGTGCCCTTATTTACCTCCAAGGTGAAAACTAAGTTAGCCGAAGGAGTTTAGTGCACACTTCTAGGAGGAGATTCAAAGTTCATTCTGTGACCCTCGTCCCTCGCACGCCCCCTCCCCCTTACTTCAAAAGAAGGAGAGTGAAATATGGTGGGGGAAGGGAGAAATCTGGACACTGCCGGCAGGGTAAAAAAGGTGACCAGAAAGGGTGAGAAAGGTGCCTGGTGCGGATGTGAACAGCAAAGACAAGCCCGAGTTAGGGGAGGGCAAGAGTAAAGACAGAGAGGAGCGGAGTTGGAGGAAGACAGTGGGGTGGAGGCAGAGAAGGGGTGGTTCGGCTGTAAACGGGCAGAGGGCCAGGGGTGATGGCCCAGGGCTGAATCTGGGACGAGAGAGGATACGCTGTAAGGGGTGGGAAGACAAGGCCGCACGGGTCTGTGTGAACTCCCGGGTCCATCGAGACGGGACTGGGCCAGCGAGTGGGTGGTAAAGATCCAATTCCTAGCTTCGCAATCCCTCGGTACCACCCTCACTCGCCTGCAGGATCCGGGCCCGCACTGCCGCCGCCACCACGACTGCAGCCATTGCTCCTCGCAACCTCTCCGCCACCTCTAATGCCAGTGTCTTTAGAAGCGCTGCCGCTGCCGCTACCAGGCCCGCCCCGCCATCCTACCGGACCTCCTCATTCGCAGAGAGGATAATTTTCCTTAGCCAATCACTCTCCCAAGTACCTGGCTCCACCCCCTCTCACTGCCAGTCTTGGGGATAAGCGATTGGTCAAAAGTGGAAGTGCTCGCTCCACCTCCCACCTAAGCAAATTCTGTTGGAGAATGTAAGGAGACGCCTCTTATTTGGGTACTCTATATTGAACACACGGGAAGACGCCCCCTAATCCGGAACCTCGATTGGTCACAGGCACGACCGTGGCCCCACCCCCTCGCTGAGAAAAGTAAATAGGAACTTCAAGAATTTTGCAGTCACCTCCACCTCTACAACTGAGCTAGAGGGCGTGACTAACACCAGGGGGCGTGGTTAGGCAAATATTGCCTTAACGGGCGGGGAAATGAGACCTGGCTGCGAGTTGGTGATAGGATTTCTCTTTGGGGGCGGGGCTTATGGATCGTCGCTTTCCCGCCGACAGTTGGCTACGTCACGTGACATGGGTTGGAAGATGGCGTCTCCCACAGACGGTAAGAACCGGCATACATCCTTCGCCTGCCACCTCCTTTGCTCGTGAGAACTTCCACTCTCCGTCTGCCCTTCGAGTTTACATTTTTTTTTAGAGGGGAGGTCCCTTTCCTTTCCTTTCTGCTTTTCTCCTTGGGATCAATACCTTCAACTCGCCGGTTCTTCCTAGAGTCTCCGGAGGTGCCGGTTTCCCCCGCTATGTACCAGGCTGGTATAGCATGGTACTCGTGAGCGACTGGTTTCGGGCAAACGGATGGGGTCGTCCTGGCCTTTCCTTAGTTCAATTTGGGCGAGACTGAAGACCAAAGGGAAGTGCCTTTTGCTTCTCTTTCTTGGGGCGTCCCACTGAATGAATGGTCGTTTCTCTTCTCATTAAGCATCCCGAACGATACTCTGAAGCCCTAGCTGGGATTGGTGGCTGACCTCATCCCAGGAGTGAACCGCAAGAGAAACGTGATGATTCTCTTCCGTCCCCTCTTATTGGGACAGTTGTTCCGGTAGCTAGAGAAGCTACGAGAGTCCTAAGGAAAATGTGAATTGAGCTTTTGGTGTGGTCTTGCACACGTCGCAACCTGTCTTCCGTGTGCTGTAAGCATTGTTTCCTGAGGCTGAGTGAATGAGCAGTTGTCTTTGCTTATGTCATATCTAAGATGCAGGTAATCTCAGGTAACAGTTATGTGGTTTTGTGTCGATTTTGCTTGAGAGAGTTTGGGTCTTGAGCCGTAATTTTTGTTATTGTCGAAAGTATACATCAATAACATACATCAATGCAGTAATTTTTGCATGGACAATTCAATGACACTGATCACATCCTTTAGATTGTGCGACCATTCCCACCCTCCTTTTCCAAATTGTTCCTCTCCTATTAACATAAACTCAGTGTATTGTTGGAGGCTGCTTCACTGAGAGGTAGTTTCCCCCTCTCACACAAACATACTGTGTGTTTGGAAGGAATGTTGGAAGTTAATGATTGCAGGAATGAGAAAATTGAGGCCAGGAGAAATAGTATATCTGGTACCTACAGTGTTGTCAAGTCCATTCCGACTCATAGCACCCCTGTATAGGGTTTCTGAGGAGCAGCTGGTGAGCTTGAACCAATGACTTTATGGTTCAAAGTGACTTTGTCGTCCAGATCATTAACCCATGGCACCACTCCAGGACTCCTATATAGGGATTTGTTGTTATTATTGCTGTTGTTAAGTACCTTAGAGTTGGTTCTGACCCATAGTGACCCTGCATGGGGTTTTGGATAGGGAAGGCATAATGCTAGGTACTTTGGGAGATAGAAGGTTGAATCAAGCATGTCAAAATTTTCAGTTTTAGGTCTCGTTATCCATGTAACCTCCCATGGAGGTTTTCCTAGACAGCAGAATCCAGAGTTGCCCCTCTCCACCAGGATCATCATCTCAGTATTCTTTATCCTTCTTTTTATCCCGGCAATCAGTCTTGTATCCCAGACTTGTTAGCACAGTGCTTGGCAAGCAATAGGCCTTCAATTAATATTTACTGAAAGAATGATTAGATGTATGCATAAGCAATACATTACTTGTTGGAGAGTCTAAAGTTTTTTGAGCCAAGTATGAGTGTTCTCTTGCTAAAATGTCTTTTTTCTTCCCAGAAAATAAGAGGTATTTAAAAAGTCAACCAGGTGATACAAGTAGAGATAATTGCTATTAAAATTTTTAGTTTAATCTTTATCCATTGCTAGTAGAAATGAAAAATGATACCCACTGCCACAGCAACCCATATATAGGGTTTGCAAGACTAAATCTTTATGGCAGCACACAGCCTCATCTCTCCCAAGGAGTAAGTAGTGAGTTTGAACCACTTGTGGTTAACAGTCCAATACCTAACCCACAGTGCCACCAGGGCTTCTTGCAAAATGGTTCAACCTGTGGAAAGCAGTATAACAGTTCCTCAAAAAGTTAAAAATAGAACTGCTGTTGTTATTAATTATTGTTATTAATAAGGAGTTCTGGTAGCATAGTGGTTCCGAGTCGGGCTGCTAACCTAAAGGCCAACAGTTTGATACTACCAGCCGTTCCGCAGGAGAAAGACGAGGCTTTCTGCTCCTGTAAAAATGTAG